CCGCACTCCCCGCACGCCGGGCCCGGACGGCGGCCCCGACGGCGAGCGCTGGGCGCAGCTGGAGGAGGAGAACAGCAGCCTGCGCGAGCTGGTGGAAGACCTGCGCGCAGCGCTGCAGAGCAGTGACGCGCGCTGCCTGGCGCTACAGGTGCGCACGGGCTGCGGGGCGGGCGCGGGGCGCGGTCCTCTGAGCGACAGGGTGACTGCAGAACTGAGCCAGGAAAGAGGGGAGAGAGGGCAGCGCCGCCCCACTTCTCACCCCACCCCACTCGCACCCACTCCAGCCCCCACTGCTGTTCTCAGCATCCATGCCACCAGCCACCCCGCTCCCGCGGAAGCCAGCCCCACCCAGAGAACCATCCCAAACGAACCCCACCCCCACCACGTGTCTGCTCTTTCTAGCAGGCAGTCAAACCTTCCATCCACAGTCAGCCATCCAAAGGGCATCAGCTCCCCCTGGTGCCCCGCCCCTGGCAGGTTTAGGGGGTGAGGTGTAGAGAGTTGTCCTTGCCTTTTAGGGGCTCCCTGCCTAAGGGGGTAGTTGAACAGTTCTTCCGACAATAATTCTGAGGGGCCTCCCTCAGGGCCAGGCCTGATACTCTGGTGCGAAACAGAAGTGTCGCTCTGCCCAGCACCCGCAGAGGGCCGGCTACTCTGGGACACTGAAAAGGAGGCACTGAGTGAGCTGTGGACCCAGCAACAAACACTTCTCCCGGTCTCCACTGTGCCCGGCCATATGCCAAGGGCCTGACGTGCCCTTTCGAGGTGCTCAGAAGCTCAGTCTGAGGATGGGGGAGCCAAGGGTAAAATGCTAGGAACGGACACAGGCAGAGAAGAGGGGTGCCATTTGGGAACCAAGCTCTGGTAATGAGCAAAGGGCACCATGTGGCCTCTGTGCCTGACTCCTGCACCCCTTTATAAAAGTGGGGCCAGTAGCATTCCTGCCTCACACTTCCGATGAGAAGTACGCGTTCAGACACACCTGGAACCCGCAAGCAGTGTGAGACAAACGTGCACCCTCTGCTCACAAGGGAGGTGCCCGGGTGATGGTCAGGTCAGGCGCAGGGCGCTCACCGCCTTTTCCTGCTGCCCTGTGCCCGCAGGTCGGCCTCTGGAAGAGCCAGGCAGGCGCCCCGGAGGTGGAGGCCGAGCGCCCTGAGCCCGAGGCCGCCCCGGGCAGTGAGCCCGAGGCCGTGGAGCGGGAGCTGCGACAGGCCCGGAACGCCCTGGAAGCGGCCGAGGCCCGCGCAGGGAGGCTGCGCCAGGGCCAGGCAGAGGTCCGGCGACGCGCAGAGGAGGCCCGGCAGGCGGTCCTGCACAGTCTGGGCAGGGTGCGCGAGCTCGAGGCGCTGGCGGGCCAGGTGCCTGGCCTGCAGCACTGGGTGCAGCAGCTGGAGGGCGAGCTGCAGCGCTACAGGTGAGTGGGCGCGCAGAGCTGCGTGGGGGCGGCCCGGTGTCCCGCCAAGTCCTGTTCCCCCGAAGCTCACGTCTGCATTCCCTCCCTCTGGTCCTTGCTATCTCCGCCTTGTTTCTGTGCACAGTCACGAGTTCCTTCATGCGTAGGCCCAGTCTTCTCTACTTCAGTCAGTCTTTCACTCCATGGCTGACTCTCCGTCCATCCACCCCCCAGAGTACCCACCCCCACCCTCCGTCCTTCCACCCACCCACAGTAGTTCCACTCACTCGTTCACGGTTGCAACAGGATATGTTATTCTTTGACAGTAATAATGGGACTAGCTAATGGTTCCTGGGCACTTCATGGGCCTGGCTCTGAGCTAAGCACTTTATGTGACTAACTGAACCCTTGCAACAGCCCGGGGAGGTAGGTGCCCCACTCTACAGGTGAGGAAACAGAGTACACCGAGCCCTCGCACCAGCTCCCCCGGACAGGCTCCCATCCTGTCAGGGCTTCTGACTGACCCGCAACCTGGCCCAGGCACTGTCCCTCTCTGTGGGACTGGCGGTGAAGCAGGAGGGCCTGCTTCACCAGAGGCTCAGGAAACAGCCCGCCTCCCTCTGCGCCATAAGGCCCTCCCGCCTGCCTTTCCCACTTACCGAGCACGACCCTGACCCTGCAGGGCCAGGGCAGCACCCCGCAGCACCAGGATGTGACGGTGAGCAGGCCAGCGGAAATCCTGCTCTGCGCAGCCTCCAGAGCATGTTCGAGCACCACACGAACAGACGTGTGTCGCAGGCCTCCGGGGCAGGGGTCCGCCTGGCTTGCTGCAGCTCAGCCCGTACCTGGCAGAGTGACATTAGAGTGAAGAGCTAGGATGGGGTGTTACCTGGCAAGAGGGACCAAGGAGGGGTGTGGGTGAGCATTTGGGAAAACGGGAACACGGAAAGCCCCGAGGCAGGCAGAGGCTGGCCGTGCAGGGGCTGGGAGGACTTTAGTTTCCCCTCAAGCAAGCATGTAGCCATGGAAAAGTTTTAAAGGAGGTGATGAGCAGATGCACATTTCAAAAAATATGTTACTCCAGCTTTGTCACGGTTGTGACAGCGGTGGGGTACGGAGGCCATCAGGAGGGAGTAGCCGGGAGCAAGGCTTTGTCGCCCGCTGGCCTGACCGGCAGGTGGGCCAGCCAGGCTGGGGGTGGGGCTAGGAGGTGGCTTTGACCCAGCTGCTCTGACGGGGGGACTCTGCCTGGACTTCTGAGGGACTCGTGGCTGGCTGGGCGATGTGAAGGCAGAATGGTGGAGGGAGGGCACGCTGGGGAGCCCCACTCTGGGCCAGCCTGGCCCGAGTGTTTGGATAGCCACTTCCTGTTTGCATAGCTGATCAGCGAAGAGCAGAGCTGGCTGGCCTGAGGCTGCGTCCGGCCTTGGAACTTTCTCCACGAGGAGGAACAGTAGGCTCATCACTGTTTTGCCCTAAACGAACTGTCCTTTAGAGCGTAACTGTAGGAACCACCACCACCACGGGCCAGCCCCTCACAGGAGAAGAGGTGGTTTGCCCCCATGGCACCACGCGCCCCCCGGCCCCGCCGACTGCACAGCAGAGCCTCAGTCCCTTTTCATAGACTGTCGGAGCCGAGGCTCTGAGGTGCTGTACCCAGGCCGCACAGACAGAGGCGGGAAAGTAAGGTCACCTCCCCCCATACCTGATTCTTTCTCTTTCCAGTCTAGCTTTTTTGGGGTGACTCATGGTTACAAGATGGCTGCTGCCCCTCCAGGCCTTGCGTCTGCTATTACAGGCCAAGAAAGATGGGCAACGTTGGCGGTGGGAGGGTGTTCTTCTAGACAGTCAGACGAGACGATGCCTCCGCAACCCTCCCTTCCAGGGTGCCGGACTAGTACCCCACTCCGGGCCCAGAACCCTATCAGGCAGCAGCCCCTGTGGTCTGCTCGTGGTGTGGCCCGCTGCGTCACGGTGCTCCTGGGGAGGCCAGGGGGGGCAGGTGTTGCAGTGGGGCCGCTGCAGGTATGAGGCGCTGCCCAGACAGTGAGCGGGAAGGCGGCGGCTGCCCCGTCGCCGGGCCGGTGCAGTGGGCACTGGGAGCAGCCTCCTCTGCCCCTCCTCTGTGGCCCGTGTGCGGCTTTCGAGACTGACTTGCCCCGAAGCTCTCCCTCTTTGAGAGAAAAGGATCGGACAGACGGCACGGGACAGGACCGGGTCAGCTCCGGAGCCCTCCACCCGCTGACAGGGAAGATACCAGTACCTGCAGCTGGCAGTGGGGGAAACCAAGGCCAGAGAGGAAGCACCTTATGGTGGCACAGAGCAGCAAGGCAGGGGCCAGAGCCCAGCCGGGGCAGCCCAGGGCTGCACACAGGGCCGCTGAGGTAACAGGCACAAATCCTGGACTTCGCAGCCCCATTTCTAGGCCGGGAGCCAGGGGCCACCAGGGGCTGTCGCGTGACAAATGCCAGGGCTCAGATGTCTCTGTGTGGGCCCAGCCGCCTCCCTCAGCAAGGCCCTATTGGGCCTGTAGTCTAGAGGAACTGGGGGTGGAGAGAAGAGGCCCCACACCCCAAAGACTGGATGGAGCCCCATCACACCAGTCAGTGACATCACTCTGAACGCCCCCAGGTGCTCTGCAGATGTATGGGGGAGGGGCAATGACTGAATCCCTCACCCCAGAATGGCAGCTTGAAGCCATTTGGTTAGAATACACAACCCTGCTCCCACTTTCCCGGCACTGCCCCAGAAGCCAGCTCACTCTGGTCTCCTGATGGTGCTCTGGGGCGTAGCGTTCTTCCAGTGAGGAAGGGAGCCCCCCTCGGGAGGGGGCGTTCCTCTTGTCACAAGGCCAACACTTCACTGTTCAAGGGCTCCCCCGAGTGTCCCAGTTCCTAACCAGATGTCCTCCCAGCCTCACTGGACCGACTTGGAACCATGTCCAGCCCCAAGCCTGCCCGGGGTGAGGGCGGGGAGGATGGGACAGATGACTGAATGCTCAGATGGGCCAACCCCTAGTCACTACTCAGACATGGAGGACCTCCCTGAGACCCTAAGGGGTGCACACCAGGCGTAAGGCCCCACCCGCCCCCTCTCCGGTCTCTGACAGCCTACCTGCAGCAACCACAGGGCCGCGGGAGGAACCTCCTCAGACGTGGCATGGCTTGTCAGAGTCAGCTTCCCCGGGCTGCTCACCACTTAGGGGCGTGGTTTGGAGCACCTTGCCCCTTGCCACAGGGTAGTTCAGGTGCTTCAGACCTTGTGGGGAAGAAGGCAGAGAGGATCACTGCAGGTGGTCTCCTGCCCTAGCCTGCTGGCCCCCCAGAAAGCACCAGGCCTTGGCATTTCTTTGGCCCAGAACCCAGTACAGGGTTTGCAGTGAGGCGTGGCTGCCGACCTTCAAAATGTCTGGGGGCAAGGGGCATGGGCAAGCGTAGGCATGCCCTGCGCCGACCAGTGGCCTGATCTGGCTTTGGCGAGTGGTGCCCCGCGGGGATGGTGAGCGTGGCGGCCGGACGTCCTCAGCTCAGTGGAAGGTCCCTGGCGGTGTGGCATCTCTGGCTGTCTCTTGGGAACCACCCCCCCCAGGAGCAGCTGCACCTTCAAGCAGACCTGGGCAGACCCTGGCCAGACTGCTGGGCCAGGGCTAACTCACAGAGGAGACATAACCCAGCCCAGCTGGGCCAGCAGTCTGGCCCGAGCTTTGTTGGGGAGATGAAAAGGCCAGGAAGGAGGAGGGAACACACGGCCGAGGCCACGGGGGCCACCTCCTTTCTCCTGCCCACTGCAGTAGCCCAGCCGCCTCGCTGGCAAGGGCGGGAAGGAGGCTGAGTGGGGGCAGGGCGGGGGCCTGTGGCATCGTCTGGAGCTGGAGACGCAGGTCCACTCTCGGACTCCATTGTCCTCGAGAGCCGTGTGTGGGTGGGTGGTCGTGGTGGGAATCCGGCCTTTCTCCCAGGGACAATACCCAGGGGTCACAGAGAGACAAAGGCGTTGGGGTGCCGGGACCCCCCACCTGGACCCTGCGGGTGGGGCCCAGGCCCGGGCCTCACCCCCTGCCTTTCACACACTGAAGAGCACCGTCAGGGGCTCTCTGCTCCGCCTCTGGCTTGGGGGCCCTTTCCTGCCCATCGAGTGCGGTGTGAGGGGGGAGTGTGGCCCAGTGCAGTGTGTGGCTGTGGGGTGTGGCCTAGGGCCGTGACCCTCTGAGCCCCCAACTCCCTTTAACATGGGTCTGAGGAGAAAAAAACGACAATACCCATCTCGCGGGGGAACGGAAGCCTCAGAATGCACCAGAACAGCGCTGACGCAGGAGAGATGCTCGCGAACCTGGGGTCACGGGGCTGCCCGCTGTCTGTGAGGCCAGCAGTGGCCGAAGGGATGGGCTCCCCTAAGTGTGGGCAAGCAGAGGCAGGTGTGGCACCGGCTGGTGTGGGGCGCCTGGGGGCGCCACCATCTGAGGGGCGGCAAGGACGGGCTGGCGTCTGACACTGCAGATGTGGTGGCCGCGGGGGAGCAGGCGTGTGAAGGGCGGCGCGCCCTTGGCCCGGACTTACTGCGGGAGAGAGGAGGGGAAGGGAGTGGGGAGCAGCGAGGCGGGTGAGACGTGAAGACCGGGGGCAGAGAAGGGCCCAAACGGGCGCCGGGGCGTGTGCGCCGCAGAGATCCTCTGGCTGTGCGGGAGGACAGGTCCGGCATCGGTGGGGCAGGCCCGACCTCCAGCACCGAGCCTGGGCCTCCGGCACCTGGAGGCGGCCGGCCCTGCCGCCCTCCCTCCCCGGCGGGGGCTTCCACGGGCAGAAGCTTGGGGTCTGCAAGCTGAGACGTGCTTCTACTCTGGGTGCTGCCACCAAGCTGACAGTGAGGGCAGGAGCCAGCAAGGACTCACCTGGCGGGGGCGGGCGCGCAGATCGCTGGGTGGCCCCTGGCAGGAACAGAGCCCGCGACAGAACTGTGAACATGAGGGAACACGGGCGGGTGGCGAGCGGGGCTCAGCGGCATGGAAACCAGCACTCGACAGA